TCGGCGGAGCCGCTCCGCATTATGACAAAGCGGCGCCCGGGAAGGAGGGAGGCCGGCCGGCACAGGAGTAGACCCCCCCAGTCCCCTCCGGGAGCCCCGATCCTGCCGCTGCGCATCCCTCTGGAGAGGTGCCGGGCGCCACCCAAGCAGGGGCGTCCTGGGCTCGGCGCTCGCTGGGTCTCCCCGTCTCTCTCTCCCCCCCACCCTACGCAGAGGGTCCCCCGAGACCCCCGCGAGGTGCCGAAGAGCGCCGGGAGAGGCACCGCCCGATGCCTCCCTGGCAGGAGCCGGAGGAAGGCCAAGGAGGGCACTCTGGAGCGGGCACCCTCCTCATCCCCTCGCCAGCGCCGCCAGGAAGGGGGGGGGAGAGGCATCCTGACCTTGCTGGCCAGCGGTGTGGACTGCACAGAGAACCACCCTAAGCCTGGCCCTGCCATGAGGTTTCTGACCCTCGAGGTGCTCCCCCGTGGTTGTGCCGGACTGTCCCCATCGAGCAACCTCGGGCAGGCCACCTGGTGCCCCGGCAAGATGTGGGAAGGGGGAGCCACCCCACCCATGAAGGCAGCCTCCCTGCGAGGGCTGGATGACCCTCTGGGGACCCCATCATCCTACAGGGCAGATCCTCCACGAAATGGAACACGGGGTGGGGGGGGAAGGAGAGGGTCTCCCTGGTTGGGCTCTGCAAAGTCGGGGTCCAGCCGGGAAGCTAGTAGGATGCTGGGGTGATAGATCCCATTTTGCACATCCCACCTGAAAGCACCACCTTCCCCTGAAATGGGTGGGTGGGGGCATCAGAGCAAGCCTAGACCTGAGGGCAGTGGAGACGGCTCGAGACGGGATGCTCTGGGACAGTGCTGGAAAGACCTTCCATACCCACCCATCCCGGTGCCTTCTCACCCTGCGGGAGGCAGAGTCTGTGGCGTCTCTTACCGTCCAGGGATAACCAGTCGTGCTGGGAGGAAGGCAGGCTGGGCAAGGCTCGCGCTTTGTACTCAAAGACCACTGAATTGGAGATGATCTGGTTGTTGAAGGCCACTTGCAGGGTGACCAGCCCGGTGTCGTGGGCTGGAAAAGAGAGGCAGAGAAGACGGGCGGAGAGAGAGAGAGAGGCTCGCGGGGTGAGGGCGTTGCTTGAGTCCATGAGCCTCTTCCTCACTTGGGCCAGGGGTTGGAGCCTCTGCTCTGGCGCGGTCGGGAATCGTGGCCTCCCTCCTCCCCACCAAGGACCCCTTGGAGGAGGTGAGCCCACCCATCTGTCCCCCACCTGTTTCACCACCCCCTAAAATAACCCAGCAAAGCAGACACGGGTAAAAGCCAACACAAGGCACAGCTCCGGGGAGCCCAGGTTTCAAGAGGAGAAAGATGGCGAGGGCGTTTCACGCCTTCTGCGCTTTGCCAGTTAGCATGGCTTCCTTTTCTGATTGGCCGTCAGGAGAAGCCCATCGCCACCAAGTCCGGTGGCTCAGACACGGAGGTCTGGAGGGAATCGTGTCTCTGGAGCCCTCGGCTTCCTTTTCTGATTGGCCATCAGGAGAAGCCCATCGTCTGGAGGGAATCGTGTCTCTGGAGCCCTGGCATGGATGGGCTCAGCTCTGAAGAGGAGTGGCGGGTGAGGCTGGCCCCCTCTCGGGCAAGCAGGTCTTGACACGCGTGCCCCTCGGGTGGCTACCTAAGCCAGGAAACGGCCACCTCTCCCGTCCCTAGGCCAGGTAGACACCCTGAGGATAGCTCTGAAGGCAGGGAGATCACAGCTGATACGCAGAAGGGGGAAAGGCTCTTTACGAACCCCTGAGCTGCTTTGCGGTTTCCTGAAAGCTCCCCGGCTGGCATTTGATGCTGGAAGCAGAACACGGAGTCTCCCTCTAACGGGGCCGGAAAGGCGCCTCTCTGGAGGCCCTCCCGTCTGACAAGTGGGTAAACGCATCAAGGATGTTCTGGCTTCTCCCGATCAGTTACATGTGCGAGGGCCTTCAACAGGTGTTGAACACGCACACACAAACACATGGGACCCCCCCTGAGAGCCCTAGCAGGTGTGGGGGGGGAACCACTCACCTGGGCAGTAGCAGCGAAGCACCCCGGGCTGGATGAGGGAGGCCGGCACCGAGACCTGGTCAAAGAGGCAGCTGTAGTTGTTGCTGGCCTCTTGCCAGGGGCCCGTGATCAGCACCTTCACGCCCCCCTGAGGAGGAAACAGAGCATCAGTGTCCGGGACCGCCTGCAGGGGGCCCCCCCTCCCCATCGCTTGAGTCCTTTGTGGCCTCTTTGCTGACTTTGGCCTGCGTCCCCCCCCCCGCGCCGAGGGGCAGGCAGGAAGGAAAGGAGACACACAGGCCAGAGGGTCTCCCGGCAGCCCCCCCTCCTCCCTGTTCTTGACTTGAGAACCGCCTTCCAATACGGATTAAGTTCTCAAGTCAAGACCCCACTGTAAACCCATTCATTTCATATATATATAAAAATGTGAGCTTTCCTGGACAAGTCCACTTCATCAGACAATTGTTCACTTAACATGTATTTTTGTTTTGTTTGAAATAAGTCTGTCCATTCTTAAGGGGCCAGAACACTTTTTAAAAATTCGGTTTCCCTTGCATTTTATGTTTCTTTTGCAGGCAGAAGGGGGCTTGTGTGTATGAGTTTGTCTCTCTCTCTCTCTCTCTCCATGTTTCTTTTGCAGGCAGAAGGAGGCTTGTGTGTATGAGTTTGTGTGGACTTTGTGTGGGTGTTTTGGTGTCCTCTCTCTCTCTCTCTCTCTCTCTCTCTCTCTCTCTGTGAAGCTCCCCTGCTGCCACCCAGTGGCAGAAAGATATCTCCTCACACAGTCCCACCACCTGGGCGCATTCTGCATTTCTGGCCAGTCTCCTTGGAAGGATCTGAGAAACAGATTCAGCTGCAGCTCCCTCCTCAGCACACACCTAGCAGAAAACTCAGGATGGGTGCCCCATGACTTCCTCTGGTTTTGTGAGGCCACCACTAGACAATGACTGACAGCTCCCTCCGTGCTCGCAAACCGGGTTTTTTTCGGGATCTAAGCTTCGCAAGACAGCTATTTAAACAGCTGATGGGCGGTTCGCAAAGCGGCTTTCCTATGGCTGATCTTCGCTAGACAACGACGATTCTTCCCCATTGGAATGCATTAAACAGGTTTCAGTGCATTCCAATGGGGAATTGCTTTTCGCTAGATGATGATTTTGCTGAACAGCGATTTCAGTGGAACTGATTATCATTGTCTAGCGAGGCACCACTGTAAGGTGGTGAGAGAAAACCCTGGAGAAAGAGAAACTTGGCCCAGGGTTTCTTGTTCCCAAAGAAGCCATTCCTGTCCAACCCCGTTGCAAAAAAATAAAATAAAAAATACAGCTTCTCCATTGTACTGGGAAGCCGTTTCTCAGGCCAGGAGTGAGTCTCTTTTAATCCATCTGTATATCGCCTAGCCTCTGGTTCTATCTAGTGGCCAGTCTTAGTAATACATCTTGGGACAGTGTATTCCTGCATTTTTATTATTATTATTATTATTATTATTTTTCAGGCAGTGGATAAGTGAAAGCGTGGGTCCTGATCTCACGGATCTGGCAGTCTTACTGTACTGGGAAGCTGCAGCCCGTGGCCAGGAAGTAATGGGAGCCCTGAATCAAAAAAAAGTTAGGGAGCCACTGGCCTGAAGCCTTGCTTGGCAGAAGGCAGGGCTGGATCTCCAAGGTTCTTCTGCGTCTCCCTACCATTTTCTTTCCAGCCTTTTTTTTTTTTAATTTCAATCTCCAAAGTTCTTCTGTGTCTCCCTGCCATTTTCTTTCCAGCCTTTTAAAAAAATTTCCAAGGCCCCTTGGCTGCCTCGCAGAGAGCAGCTACACCCGGGGACATTTTTATGGGCCAAAGAGGCGGGGGGGGGTATTCTAGCTGGTTGGAAACATTTCTAGGGCAGGTAGGCAATGGCCTGGCCATCATCCTCCCTGCCTCTCGCTTAAAGATGGGAGGGCAAAGAGAGACAGAGCAGAATGGAAAAGAGTCCCACCCACCCCCAAGACACTGTAGCCCCTGTTTCCAGCCAAGGTGGAAGAGAAAGCCCAGGCCGGGTGCATCATGGCCGATTCTTCCCCCTCTTGACATGTTCCAAGAAAGCCACCAGGAATGGGCGTCCCCTGATTTCCCGGAGCTTACCTCCGGGTACGACCACTCGGGCGAGTAGTCCGTCACCATGAAGAGGCGCCCGCTCTGCTGGAGCATGCCCAGGGTGCTCTGCGCGGCGGCCGCGGCGGCAGCGGCCGAGACCACCTCCGTGACGTGCATGTACGCCATGGTGTTGGCCCCGTTCTCGGCGCTGCTGAGGTGCAGGTTGACCTGCTGGGGGCTACAGCAAGGGATGCACATCTCCCCCTGGCTGTAGGAGGCCCGGCCGGCGTCCTCTGCCTGGGCCAGGGCGGCCCCTTCCCCGGAGACCAGCTGGTGCCCGTAAAGGGCGTTGCTCCCGCCTTCCACCGAGATGAAGTCGTTGATCAGGTCGGAGAACTGGTTGCTGAAGGAGATGTCGAAGTGGTCCAGGCTCAGCTCCATGTTGGAGGGGTTGCCGAGGCCCGGGTGGGCGATGGGGTAGAGTCCTTGAGCCATGTTCCCCTGGAGGATGGGGAGGCCGCCTCCGCCGTTCCGCAGCCCGCCGTTGCTCTCGGGCGGCAGGTAGTGCTCCGTCCCGCAGGCGGCCTGGAGCTCCCCGGATTTCAGCAGCCCTTCGCCACCGCTGCCACCGCCACCCTCTTCCGCGTGCGGCGAAGTCTCCATGGGGACCTCCCCTTCCGCCGCGGCGGCCGCCATGCTCTGGAAGTTGGCCTGGAACTGCATCAGCTGCAGCGAAGAGGTGGACTCGATCCGGGCCTCCGCGGCGCCGTTGCAGTTGGAGGCGGTCTGGGGGGAGCCCTCCGTCTTGACGGTGGGGAGCCCCAGGGGGCCGGCGAAGGAGCCGCCGGCGGCGTCGCTGCTGGCGCTCAGGTTGTTGTGAGGGGTCTGCTCCAGGGGGAGAGGCTTGCTGGCGTCCTGGAGGAAGAAGCTGGGCGAAGGGGTCTGGTGGACGTGGGGGCTCTGGACCGCCTGGCCGAAACCAGAGGAGTAATCCTTGTTGGAGTCGATGGCGCTGAAGTCCATCTGCTCCAAGGTTGTGCTGGGGCTGAGCCCGCCGCCGGAAGGGAGAAGGCTGGAGCTGGTCGTCAGGGTGAGCGAGTTGGCCGAGGCGGAGAAGGCTTCCTTCGACAGCTGTTGCTCAAAGGAGGTGTCCTCCGTCTTGATCTCCTTGGCCAAGGCGGTGCCAAAGTTGAAGCCGCGCTCCGCCGTGGGCGACTCCCGGACGTTGGGGCCGAGGCCGTCGCCCTTGGGCCCTCCGCCGCCGTAGGTCTGGCCCTGCTTGGGGTTGTTGAGGAAGCAGTCGGGGTCGAAGTTCATGGCGGTCTCCGGGATCTTCCGGCTGCTGCTGCTGCTGCTGTCGAGGGTGGTGGAGAGGACGAGCTCTTCGGAGACGCCGGCGGGCAACATGGCCAAGCCGTCGGTGCTGCTGGCAGTGGGGAAGGCGAACTTGTGGCCGTCCGAGCTGACGGCCAGGACCAGCCCTTGGGCCGCGGCGTCGGAGGAGAGCAGGTGCTGATTGGGGCCGGCAGTGGGCGACATGGTGTAGACGGCCTCGCTGGTGACGTCCGACATGAAGACGGTGGCGCTTTGCGACAGGTTCCCCATCACCGAGGCCACGGCCATGCTGGAGACCCCCGTGACCGCCGGGCTGTCCGCCACGTCGGGGTCGCTGTTGAGGCCGCTGCTGATGGACACGGGGGAGTTCTGCGTCGTGTCCGGGACCTCCACCTGGTTGGTCGAGGAGACCTCGGTGCTGTTCTGGTGGAGCAGCACCGGCTTGGCCACCTTGCCGTTCCGCTTCTCCCGCCCGCCGGAGGTCTTCCCTTCCCTGTGTTCGTTCTTGCCCTCCGAGACGTCGTTGTTCTGCACCTCCGAGTGGGCGCCGTAGCCGCCCGACCGGGGCTCCACCTTCGGCGAGATGATGCGGTGCTTGGCACTGTTGCACTTGTGGTGCACGCTGCTCCCGGCCCCTGTGCAAGGAGGGCAAGAAGAGAGACAGGCCTGTCAGGTGGAAGGGCAACGGGGGTGTGTGGGTTACCATGCCGGTCCTGATCCGAGGCAGGAGGTCCTATGACCGGGGGTGAGGGGGAGAGGCAAAAGCAGCTTGCTTTTTCCTGCACCCGCCTGCATGCAAAGAAGTGGAAGAAGCCGAAAGGCCTTCCAAAAGAACGTTGTTGGCGGGTGGGTGGGACCAGCTTTGGGCCTCCAGGTTTGGCGCCGAATGCCCGGTGCATTCCGTGCATCCTCGAAATGACGTGCCACAAGCCTTTGGCCAACAGCAGAGGGCTTTGTGGTCCAGGGGAGGACGAGATCCTGCCTCCTCCAGTGTAACACACATCATTTCCCTTCTGAAACCCACCTGCCCAAGTTGACTAGACCAGTGGTCCCCAGCCTTGGGCCTCCAGATGTTCTTGGACTTCAACTCCCAGAAATCCTGGCCAGCAGAGGTGATGGTGAAGGCTTCTGGGAGTTGTAGTCCAAGA